AGCGAAGTGTTCCAATTTTGATGTCACCAACAGCCCTCTGATTGTATATCCGTCTCATCCTTCCCCTGATTGTTGAGCGTCGGCCACATTCCCTGGTAACTTCTCGCAGCGCCATTCTCTTCAGGCCCTAATGATCTATCTGCGCATCCGCACTGTTCACTCGCTCCCAAAGGGCTCTCACAATATCTAGCTTGTCATACATCAATTCACCGCCAAAATGTGCAGAATATACTGATATACTGGCCATTGCTTAATCTTTTAGTCTCGAAATTTACTCTTCTCTCATTGAACTGTGGGCTCTGTGGCTAAGTCGATGCGAACGCTTCGTAATGCCGGGGTGCCGGGTTCGACTCAGCAGGCAAACTACTGGACGTAAATTTGCCTCGAGAAACCACATAACAGTCAGGGGCTGCTGGGGTTGGTTCTGCAACTAACCTTACTGAACTAGAAACATATATTATGTTCCTTTGTGAACTTATCTCCCCCTGAGACGCCTGCATTTTCTCCAAGTGGAAACCTACCTCGCTTTGTGATGTCAAATGTTCTCTGGTTCAAGCAGGCATATATTTAACAGTGCACAGTGTTGAATAATCTCTCCTTTCAGCCTGAATCAATCTTCTGTGATATTGGCCCTGCGTGTCTCTTTCGTGAGATTGTCTGTTGAATCTTGGATCCAGTATTGTTTTAGTCTTCTTTTTTTTGTCAGACCTTCATACAATTCCCACATTGGCTTATATCGATTTCACTTTCTTGACTCAAACCGCCAATGGTCATCGCAACCGGATACGCTGAGGACTGAGGTTAACATTGAATTACACCTGACCTCATTTAACCGTGTCAATACTAGCTAACTCACAACCCCTTGACAAGTTAGTCTATGGAATATAAAGCTGCGTGTAAGTAGGGCATGAATGGTACAGGCATTGATATTATTTACTGGGAACAGAATCTCATACATCATGTTGCTGGAAGGGTTAATAAGGAAGGAAGCGACAAGGAAAATTATAATTTCTCTCTCTCCCTCTCTTCCCCTTCTCTCTCTCTCTCTCTCTCTCTCTCTCTCTCTCTCTCTCTCTCTCTCTCTCTCTCTCTCTCTCTCTCTCTCTCTCTCTCTCTTGTTCTACCACACATCATAGTAAAGTAAAGTAGAGATCCCTTTTCACGCCTTTCGGCGCATCGGGCATATGGGCAGAGCGTCCCATATTTTTACAGACCATCAGCACTCTGTGGGTAATGTGGTCAGCATTACGCCGGCTGTCTTTACTTTCCCAGGACAGCCCATCCTGGTACCCATTTTAGGCTGGGTCGACCTGCGACGTCCAATACCACGACAAAAATCCACAACATACAAGCAATAAACACCAGGTGACACAAAGTGCCACCAAGCGGATAAGGATCACCCGTGGAGAGGTCCCAGAAACCCCTTTCAGCCGTTAGGCAATATTTATGGCCCGGCTAAATACATGGCCTTCTGGCAAAAGCCAGGGTGAGGCTTCAAATAACGAAAACGCGTCAACATGCGATGGCAGCAGAAGTCATTAAATATCTTGCCTTTTTAGGCCGAGCTGCTTTTACTCATTACACTGGTCATCGCCATGGACTGTGATCCGTGACAAGTTATTTGCTTCTTACTGGTTAGCTGATGTATTTTCCCCTTCATATTTGAACTGAAAGTGTATAGTTCTGTCACCCATCTACCGCGGTGAGTGCATGATGCGTTACTATGAGCTGTGGATTTCATTAGGGATGCTTTTCTCTTGAGCTAAAAGTGGTACGTGTTGTGAACTGCAGATTCAGAAAATGCGAGTGGAATGTTGCCATAGAACTAGTGGTGGAACTACTGATTTCTTGAAGCGAATGCTTCCATTGACGATGAATTGCACTGCTTGCTTGTGTTGGCACTTCTCACGGCTGTCTTATGCATTAAATGTGCGTGTATGCTATTGGCTTTGCTGGGACTGCATTCTGACTAGAATATTTCACAAGAGACAGTGACGGATATTCACTGCACTGGCACAGGAACGGAGCAACTGTGGGTTTACATCAATGTTTCTCAACGTGGGGTTCACACCCTCCCCCCCATCCATTCCCCCCCCCCCCAGAGGGTAATTTGATTGTCAAGGGGAACATTTTGATTGTTAAGAGGGACACTTTGATTGTTAAGGGAAGCAATTTGATTCTTGAGGGGAAGGGGGCAATTTTAATGTTGAAGGGGCAATTTGATTGTTGAGGGGGGTAATCTGATTGTTGGGAAAGGGGGGGGGGGCAATTTGATTGTTGAGGGGGGTAATCTGATTGTTGGGAAGGGGGGGGGGGGCAATTTGATTGTTGAGGGGGGTAATCTGATTGTTGGGGAAAGGGGGGGGGGGCAATTTGATTGTTGAGGGGGGTAATCTGATTGTTGGGAAGGGGGGGGGGGGCAATTTGATTGTTGAGGGAGACAATTCGAAAAGGGACTGGGCCAGAGATGAAGTTACATAGGAGGGCATAAGAATTTTAAAAAAGGTATATTGGGCATGGCATACAAGAAAGGGTTTGGAAACACTGGTTTACACATTTGTTATTAAGTTGAATTTGAATTCGATTCGCAATTACCTTACCTAACCCTAAAATAAATAAATTTTGATCTAGAAAGTGTAGTAATAAATCCGTTGGGCTAAAATGTTAGGACATGATTAGCATCCAGAAAAATAACAAAGACTTACTTAATATATATAATCAGTGCTTATGCATTGCATTACTATTTTCTTCTCAGTGTATATGTGTGTGTGTGTGTGGTTTTTTTTTGTGGGATTGGGGGAGGGGGGGGGGGGGGGGGGGTTGTCACCTTTTCGTCTTTCCAGACGATAGTGTTATAGTGTGCTATTAGGAGATATGGGACTTGCAGCCCATGGCGATGGCGAGTGTGACTAGCAAGACCCGCCCGAGTTTTCTACAAATGTAGCATGGGATATCAGGACCGTTGTTGCTAACATTTGTCTTTAGTCTGTTTCTTCTCAGATGTTCAGCGCTCATTCTTTCTGCAGTCATTTATTCCTTCATTCTCATTCCCTGCCTC